ACCCATTTCAACTAAGTTAGCTCATAAATTATCCATTTCACCTAAGTTAGCTCATAAATAATCCATTTCACCTAAGTTAGCTCAAAAACGATCCATTTCGCCTTAGTTAGCTCAAAAACGATCCATTTCACCTTAGTTAGCTCAAAAACGATCCATTTCACCTTAGTTAGCTAAAAACGATCCATTTCACCTTAGTTAGCTCAAAAATGATGCCCTTCACCTTAGTTAGCTCATAAACGACCCATTTCAACTAAGTTAGCTCATAAATGATCCATTTCAACTAAGTTAGCTCATAAACAACCCATTTCAATTTAGTTAGCTCATATATGATCCATTTCACCTAAGTTAGCTCATAAATGACATATACTTCTTGTTCTAGTCTTCTTCTTGTTCTATTCACCTATTTCTAACTTTCTTATTTACCATTTTGCATATTTCACTCACTTCATGGAAGCTAGCTTGCTATGATGGAGTGCTTGCTTTTTCTTTGCTAAAACTTTGCATTGTATCTAGCTTGCTATGATAGAACTTGTTATGTTGATGAAACTTTGCTATGTAATATGTATATGGAACAATGTGTATGGATGGAACTTGATGGAACTTGCTATGTTGATGAAACTTTGCTATGTAATATGTATATGGAATTATGTGTTGGGTATGTGATATGTTTGCTGTTAAATATATCTATATATGTCATATATATTTGCTGTGGAAATTGTTGGATTAAAAAAATAGAAAAAAAGAGACAATATGCAGGCTCTTTGCCTTCTGCCACCGACGGCAAAGGGCTCTTTGCCATCAGCAGCCGACGGCAAAGAGGCCACGTGGCAGGCAACTGTGCTTCCTGGGAGGCTGACCAATTTGGTCAGTTTGCCTACAGTGGCTGACGGCAAAGGCTTTGCCGTCGGCGGCGGACGGCAAAGAGTAAAAACTTTGCCTACAGTGGCGGACGGCAAAGGCCTGTCGTGTAGTGACGTCGGCTGACATCATTAGGCGGACGGCAAAGGCCTTCCGAAGTTTGCCGTCAGCGACGGACGGCAAAGGCCTGCCGTTAACCACCTAACGAAGTAACGGCGCATTTATTGCCGTCTGCACTCTTTGTCGTCCGCTGCTGATGGCAAATGCCCCTTTACCGTCAGCCGCCCGAAACAGATGGCAAAGTAGCTCTTTGCCGAACCTTACTTTGCCGTCCGCGACAGACGGCAAAGACCTTTGCCGTTAGTCATCCATGCCTTTGCCGTCTGCCGTGGCAGATGGCAAAGTAGCTGATTCATGTAGTGTATGGTGAGGACTTTGAGATACTGGTGTTCCTGTGCTGCTAATGAAGAATATTCATGTAAAGAAGAAGAAGATATTCAACGCTGAATAAGGGGAGGTAATCTTGAAGGAAGACCACCACAACAACATGAGTTCATGTGTACTTCAAGAAGGCCAATTTGGCACGATTGTGAGCTTCAAAACTAAAATTCCTACACTCAATAACAAAATTACAAGACTGAAATAAAGTCCTACGACGTCCTATTTCCGCCATGATCGCTCCATGAGGGTCGTCCAGGTCCCGAAGATTGTCTTGGATAACACCTTGGCGGTCTGATGTTCGGCAAGTAACAGCGCTTCCCGACATGCAAATGTTTCAAGTATACTAGGATGGGCAATACTACTGAAAACTATCAGTGAGGACCCAAGGTAGCCTCCCGTGTGGTCTCTACAAATTGCAGCCGCTGCTCCTTTGCGTACGCTATATATATGCTCAAAAGCTCCATCAACATTAATTTTCATCATACCCGCCGGTTGTGGAACCCACCGTTCAGCCGCAAACCAGCCTTTGAGTTCTAGCTGGGAGACTCTTTCGCCGGGCATGGTGAGGACTTTGAAATGCTGATTCATGGATGGATGATGTGCTGGTAGTGATTTAAAACGTCTTGAAAAGTAGCACAAAACGTCACGTAATAAGGATTTTTAACGCCGTGGCGGTCGGTCCGTTCTGCAGCGCAAGGGGGGAGCCTGTCGCAGTCTCGGCCAGCAGCGGCCGATCCCACGCCCCTGGCTCGATCCGGGCCGTCGAATCAAGATAGACACGAGCCCCTTGAAATCCGAGCCCCTTACTCCCATGACGACATGGGTCGGTCGCAGATACCGCACCGGACCGGCCGGCAGCGTCCCCTTCCTCTTCCTTCCTGTGCTGCTAGCCCAGCCCCAGCGGCACACACGCGCACGCTCCCTTTTTATTTCGCCCGTTTCCTCCAAGCCATCCATCCGTCCGTCCCATTTCTTCCTCCTGCTCCAACCCCCCCGCCCACCGATCCCCAAGCCGGTACTGGCCCGCGCCACGTCGCACCGCATCGCCGGCGGTGAGGCCGATCCGTCGCCGCGCAGCGCCGCCGGGCAAATGGGAGTTGGGCGGTGATGGGCGCGGCGAGCTCGAGGCTGGAGAAGGCGCTGGGCGAGCAGTTCCCCGAGGGCGAGCGGTACTTCGGCCTCGAGAACTTCGGCAACACCTGCTACTGCAACAGCGTCCTCCAGGTACGGACGCCCCGGCCCCCCAAGCCCGAGATCGTCGCGCGCGCGAGCCTCGTTTCCTTCGCCCCCAAGGGCGGTGCGATTGATTCGTCGTGTTCAATGCGTTCCCCGCGTCGGGAGGGACGCGGTTTCCCGTCGGATCGCGGAGCCTTGAATTCGATCTTGCGATGCCGGGGTAGATTTGTGTGCGGGGTGGTGAGCGGAGGCTGCGGAGCGAGTGGTGAGGTTCGAGTCCAGTCAGCCCCCTTGCATGGAGAAACTCACTCTTGGGGTTCGCCTGATGGATGATGAGATGCTGTTACCGTTTCGATTACGATGTTATGCTTTCGATGTGTGTCTGAACTTTTAACCGAGAGATTGCATTTTTAATGTTAAATTTTGACAATGGGGGATTGGGGGCACTCGTGGATTCCCCATAGACTGATGTGTGAGTTTTGCCCTGTATAATTGACCAATGTTCTCATCAGAAACTTTGTGACAAGGGAGAGGATAATATGTTTTCTCTATTTGTATTTGTACTCCTCGTGGGATTGGCTAAATTGTTTGTGATTATATCGCAGGCACTTTACTTCTGTGTTCCTTTCCGCGAGCAATTACTGGAGTACTATGCAAACAATAAAAGCGCCAGCGATGGCGAAGAGAACATGTTAACCTGCTTAGCTGACCTTTTCTCTCAGGTACCATTGCAGCTATCTGTTGTGGAAAATTGTTTATTCTGCCTCAGTTTCCTTCATTTGCATTTGCTGCATCATATAAAAATCACATGTAAAACATATTAAGTCTGAACTGGCACTTTTATTACATGTCCCCTGAATAACATGGGATTTCCTCTGGTTTATTGAGAGATTCCTCATCAGAGGCTTATGGTGTGAGTGTGATGCGTATGTTTCTTGAAAAGGTCAGCATTTGGCAGTATCTAGTAACCCCCTGGACTGGTGCTAGTGTCAAATTCAAGAATTTGGACTGTGGAGAAAGCCCAGGAGTCTTTAGTAATTAATTGATAAACCTGGAAGTGATTATAACTATAATGCATGTTAAATGGAGAAGATTCACAGGATAGCACTTGCTATTGTCTTGGTTGATCTCTATGGTTTCAGGGTTTGTTTGTGTTTAACTCTCTAGTGAGATGATATGTAGGTGCTAGTCAATTGCTTTCCTCGTTTATCTTTTAGCCTGAACATCAGTGTTCATTTGGGTAGTGCCTTTTATCTGGAGGCCTTCTACTAGTTTCAGTTGTGTGATTTGATAAAAGTTGCTGTGCTGGATTACACTGAAGCAGGAATTAATGGCACATTGCAAAGTATAATTGTCCTGTTCCTCTGTGCACACAGATCAGCAATCAGAAGAAGAAAACTGGTGTTATTGCTCCTAAGCGTTTTATACAACGACTGAAGAAACAGAATGAGCTTTTCCGCAGCTATATGCATCAGGTAATACATTACGTGATGATGACACATTTACTAGTGTGTTATGTCGTCTTAATCATCCCAATTGACCATGTTCTGTTTTACAGGATGCTCATGAATTCCTGAATTTTTTGTTGAATGAGCTAGTTGACATTCTCGAGAAAGAATGTAAAGCTAATAAAGAACCTTCTCAAAATTCATCTTCGAATAAGACTTCTAATGGCCCTAGTAATGGTCAGCCCAATGGTAGTCATAAAGAACCGGATACTACATGGGTCCACAAATGCTTCCAGGTGAGTTTTCATCCATTTCTGCCTATATCCTTTTTGTGTATGACTCGTGCTCTTATTGCAGTCTGGGAGATGTGCCTCATAGTATTTTATTTTTGTAGGGAATATTGACTAATCAAACAAAATGTCTGAGATGTGAAACCGTCACTGATAGAGATGAAACATTTCTTGACTTGAGCCTGGATATAGAACAAAATAGTTCAATCACCAGCTGCCTTAAAAACTTCAGCTCAACAGAAACTTTGAACGCCGAGGATAAGTTCTTCTGTGACAAATGCTGCAGGTATGTTATTCCATTTCTCTTGATTGCATGTTGTTTCCTCATGTAATGTCTAGTATCTCCATTTCCTCCTGGTCCACATCATGACTCAGTAGAGTAGCATCAGAGCTTGTGGAAATGTTGTTACTTATTACCTCTGCCTACTTGCTTGACTTATGTGCTTTAAGTTCATTCATTGACTATGCACTAGCATATCAAACTTCCAAGTTCAGTTATTTGGCAAAAATTGTGTATGTCACAGGCATTCATTTTCATTTCGCCTATCATAATTTGATCTGATATTGAATGTATCAAAATTGTTACATTGCCTGTCCATTTTTTGTGTGTTTGGATTATCTCTATTTATCTTGGATCTTGATTGAAGTTGTCATTAATTTCAGTTTACAAGAAGCACAGAAAAGAATGAAGATAAAGAAACAGCCAAACATCCTGGTAATCCATCTCAAGCGCTTCAAGTACATCGAGCAGCTTGGCCGCTACAAAAAGCTGACATACCGAGTCGTTTTCCCACTGGAGCTTAAACTCATGAACACGGTCGACAATTCAGACTTGGAATACTCCCTCTTTGCTGTGCTAGTCCACGTCGGAAGTGGGCCAAATCATGGCCACTACATCAGCGTGGTAAAGAGCCACAACCACTGGTTGTTCTTCGATGATGAGACTGTTGAGATGACCGATGAGTCCATGGTACAGACATTCTTCGGCTCGGTACAGGAGTTCAGTGGTAACACCGACAATGGCTACATACTCTTCTACGAAAGCGTCGCTAAAACAAGCTGATGCCTTCCCGCGTATCTCGTGATTAGCAACACAGTTTTTTCATTTTGTCCCCACACCTACTGCTCCGTGCTATATAGAAGATTCGGTAAAATTAGAATAATTCGAATGGCAAGACCATTCAACCTTAGATGCTTTGGTGGAGTCAGTGTTTAGCAATAAAGAAGCTGTGACGAGTTTTGCGGGTGGGTGCTGTAGCCGCCAAAGCTTGCAGTCTTCTTGCTGTTGTTTTCCGTTGTGGCACAAGTTTGTATCGATCTGGAATAATGTTTCTTAAGAGGATCTTATCATGTGAAGAAGAGATGCTTGTATCTTGAAGCCTTCTGGCTTTGTAAAATTTTGATTGGGAGAGCTTCTGCTGATTCTGACGTCTAAACGATATCTCTCTTATATGTAGCCGCTGTTTGCTAATTCGCGAACAAATCTACTGCCTTCCTTTCTTTGTCATTTGTATTCATATATACTGTCTGCTCTTATTTGGGAGCTTGTTCCGACGTGCTAAGCTCCCGAAAATTGCTAGAAGCCAAATTCAGATATGTACTGCCACATAGTACATATGTGGTGTGTGACTGCATAGCCAATTTTCCAACTTGGTTGCAATGGACCACATGGATACTATAAGTGGTGAAGTTTGTTCGGCAAGATAGCATGAGGCCCAAGTGAGGAAGCAACACAGCTGATTCTGCATTTCGTGGGTGCCTATCTGGGCAGCTGGACACCGCTGCTGATCTCGACCGACTGTTCTCCTCCAGCCACAAAGTTCTTCCTGATTACCAATACAAGCAAGATATTTTCCCTAGAAACCATATGCACGCAAGTGCACAAGCTCAAACTGGAATCAGCAGTTCACCCAAACGACAACAGTTACGATACATGCACTGGGGAACCAGAATATTTCAGCTGATGGCTACTGATTGATTTAGATTTGTCCCTGCACTGGCGACTGGCATAGCAAAGTGAATCATCCGGCTCCATGGGTGAACGGGAACAGAGAGATTCACTGGCTTTCGAGTTTCGATAACGCCTGAAGGGTGGCTGTGCTACTGTGGATGACGATGTTTCCGACGTGAGACCACTCAGCAAATTATGTGTCAAAATTTTAAGAGTGTGAAGAACACCTGCTGTGGTGGAATCAGTGTTTATAGCAGTAAAGAAACTGAACTGTGATGGTGTTTCTAACAAGTTTTAATATAAGAAATCGTCTGTTCATGAGTGTCAGTTGCATATATCCATCAGGGGACGCAATCCAAATTTTCAGCTTCCCTGACATCTTCATATATTGTACTAGCACCACATAACACAAGGACCACTGCAGTTCATCTCCAGTTCATTTTTTACTTATGCCAGTGCTTTCAATCTCTCCTATTTCCAGAAAGCATCTGGCACTGGCAGTGCTTTGAATCGAACGATAGCACACTCGGACGCCGGTGCCCTAGTTCAAAATGTGTCACATCTTCTGTTGCCTTTGAGTAACATAACACTACCACCTCAATTCAGCCAAACAGTCGTTCAACCAGGTCCCTTGGATCCACTGCAAGCTTCTCTGGCTAGAGAAGAGGGCTAAGTTGCCGAGTCTGGGATAGATCCTGAAACAATGAGAAGGCTCCTCATATTACAACATGGCCAGACGCAAGAGATCCTACACCACCTCTTCCAGCAGTGCCTCATGGAAATTGGTTCCTTGTACCTTGTGGGGGATGGCATGGACTCAGGGTTCTATTCAGAATCTGATACCAAGTAACAATCACTTCCATCTTACTTCCATGGTGGGGATATAACAATCCTATGTCCTCTGGCCCAACATCCATCTTTCTACTTTTCTTTTTGTTATTTTACAAACATTTGGAAGCATTTTCAGCATAAAACAGTGTATCTGTTGTTAGGCTTTATCAGGCCTCTTGATCAGATCCCCTCCATGGAGAAGTACCAGCAACCAAGACGACAATTGCCACGATAGACACACTAAAAATAGTAAAAGATGGGGGCACTGTAAGTTATAGTGCCAGTATTTTCCAGAGAGTGCAACACCGCAATAAGCAATCACATAAGAAAGGCAAAACATCAACAAGACATAACCAGCCAATCTGCAACTTGAGGAATTTAGGCATATGCATTCTCATCGCAAGCAGTGTAGCTCATATAGCACATATTGGTACTGTAGCTAATGCAAAAGTTGTTCCAACAATCAAAAACAGCAAGAAAAAAATAAATGATGCCCAACTGCATCTGGCCATGTGTGGCAATAAGAAAGAGCAATGCATCACAACCAGATCTGTTTAGTCTGATTGGAGTACGAAAAAACAAACCATTCACTATCAGAACAGCAGAAAAGGAGGATGAATGTGACGCTGATTGTGATGCACTGAGGTTTGATAGATGATGCAAGCTATATAGCAGAACATAACTTGAGAAACCAAGACTTGACTGTACTAGCAGTCACAATTACCAAGTGTTGCTCCATTCACTTTAGCTTCCACACTAGTACAATAAAACGCTCCAGAACGAAGTAAACAACAGGAAGGCACACACAGCAGCTGTAAACTGTAATGCACTGTTTAACATAATTGCATATATAGCAAGATTCAACTGCATTCCACGACCAAAAGGGCAATCACAGGTTAAATGCATACGGTACCACATCTTATGGAGAATAGCACAGCTAAAGATAAAAGTCTTGTGTTTGAGCTGCATCCCCAAATTCCATACCTCAAGCTAACTTTTGCATCTAGTGATAGAGTACTGCAGCGGAATAACATAAAGACAAGAATATAATAGCATCACAAGGAAGCAGGGACAGACTCTTACAACACCGTATCAAAACATCTTCCTCTTCTTGTTTCCTGACTCGCCCTTCTGGTTGTTAAACCCTCTGAAGTCATTCGTCGTCTCAGCAGTGTTTTGCTTCTTCATCCCTTTGCGGCCGCCATGCCCAAACTTGGAATCCTTTGACCTATGGTTCTTTCCTTGTTTGCCTCGCTTAGCAAGACCACCAGACCTGTCACCAGGAGAAACGCCAGGCCTCTGCTTCTTGTGTTGCTTGAGTCCTTCAACTTCAAAGTTGAGGTTTGGCCCGTCCTCCTTCCCCTTGGAAAATCCCCCCTGTTGCCTCTGCTTCCTCCACTTCTTGACCGACTCAATGCTCTCCTTCTTCTCCTTGGCCCTCTCCTTGAGCTTCTCTGCCTGCACCTCCTTCGATCTCTTCTTCGACTCCCGCGCCTTCTTCCTCTCCTCAGCCTCCTCAATCTTCTTCTTCTCAAACAGGAGCTTCCCCTTGATCTTGTGCATGTGAGTATCAGTCTTGACCATCTCCGCGTAGTAATCTGCCGGCCTGAGGAACCGGACCTTCCTGGACTGCAACTTTTCGAAGGCCTGCCTCGTGCCATCCAAAGCCTGGGTGTAGAAAGCGAGCTCACGGGTAAGATCATCGTTCACATCGACCTTCTCCCCCTGGTCATGGTCGACAGTGAGCTTGTGCATCCAGTCCACATTCTCTGGCCAGGCGATGTCCTCGAGCTTCTCAAGGAGCCCCTCTTTGTTGTACACGGCCTTCTTTGAAGGTTCAGCCTGCAATTCCTCCTCTGAATCATCATCCTCTGATTCCACATAGTCATCGTCAGTATCGTCGTTATCCAGCATGGCTTGGTCGTGGACCAAGGGGTCCTCTTCTTTTTCAAGCTCCACCATTTTCGCTGTACAAAAGAAAACATGATATTAATCCACAGAACCATATAAGAAAATTCCGGCGGATAGGACGGCGCAACCTAGGGTTCAAAAGGGGGGCTTCGATTTCTGTTTGGCCTAGCCACTATGGTGGCTGACAAATAAGGCGGCGGTTGATTTATAGCGCAAAACGTTTTCTACTGGAACACTGCATCGTCGCATACGAATGAATCCTCTAGTGCATACATCGCTGCACGGCTAGGAAGAGAAGAAAAAGAGGGCTCGGTCGCTGCTAAGGCCTGGGCTGAGCTACCTGAACCTGTCCTCCTACTTGCTTGGGCATCATTCGCTAATTGACAGAACCGCAACGAGGCATCACCGATTGACGGTAGTTGTCCAGGAACGAAACCAAGAGGCGTAGAATGCAGCCAGCCATCACGCACACCATGGAAGCGAGCGACCAACCCTAGTGCTAGTGGCCGCCGCGGGCGGCGAGCAGGCGGACAACGGGAGAAGCGAAGGCTAGACAGAGCTCAGCCGCGGACGTAGGCGCTTGCGTAAGCGGCGGCCTGGCGGCGCTGTTGGCGGGCTGCGCTGGGTGGCACGGCGCCG